TGAATGTTCAAGACATAATTTTAGTAATTAATTTTTGTTTTTGTAATGAGGTTAATTTATGATGCAGTGAGGTTAATTTTTGTTTTTGCAAATTTTTTCAGGATGGATTAGGTTATGGGTTATGAAGTGGTATGAGGAAAATTAACAAAAGTTAAGAAGAAATGGTAAAGTTAAAATCCAAGCTGAGAAGTTTATCAAGAGTGGAAGATAGTGAAATGAAAGATATGTATAGGAGTGGAAAATGTACATCCATGAGGCTGCTTCTTGTAGTTGCCATGATTGCAGTGTTAATTGTTTATTTTAGAAGTATTGTAGGGAACAATGGGAGCATAGGTGTATGCAAGAATGTGTATATGCTTCCATAAGATTGAATTGTAATCCAAATGAATTTGTTATTTGGTTTGGCAATGACAATGGCAGGAGAAAAAACCACACGAAAACCCATATTCCCATTTGTTAACAAACCAACTCTCTAGTTTATTTTGCTGCAAAAACCTCACAAAAACCACAAATGTCGTTGGCCTTATAGGGTGATGTAAAAGAGTTGGACCGGCAAAATGAGAATATAAGGGGGGAAGGGTTGTGGATGTCCAATTGTTATACGGTTGACCATGATTCACACAGTTGTGTGTGCCATGGTCCAAACATGTCGTCGTTTTTTTAAGTAAAAAGAAACGGAAATGGCGGCCGTTACTAATCTCGTATTTATGATGTACTCAGAAGAAAATGAAACTATAGTGTATCTAAAATGAAGTTGAATAACATGTCTTACATATTGAGTGTATATTGTCAAATAGAACTGTAGTTGAATTAGAATGATACTTTAGTTGTGTTGTAATGAAACTACAGTGTATCTAAAATGAAACTAAGTAACATATCTCATATATTGAGTGTATATTGTCTGATGGTCCTTGTGAGTGTTAAGTATAAATCTAAAGGGAGGCAAGGGCGAGGGAGGGGGGCGGGGGGGGGGAGGGGGGAATAGACTTGTAGGATTTTTGAAAAACGATCGCGAATGGTTAAGGCTACCCGAGAGGTAACTTTAACTACTCGGTCAGAGTTTGTAAACGCAGCGGAAATTATTTGCTAACCCTTTTGATGAAACTCTTTGCACGTTAAGTTTGCTTGGTAAATTTTAGGTTTGGTTGTTTATATGCAGATGATAAAGCAATAATAATAAAGAGATTGAGAGAGAGATATTTTTATAGTGGTTCGTCTATAACTAGTCTACTCCACTCTTCTTCACAATTTGTGAATGTTTGCACTATCTCCAGTACAATTCCCGGACGTTCACCCCTTGACCACAAAATTGGCAGTGAATTCCACACCACACAGGTTTTTCAACTCAAAATTGAGTTTACTCAGCCTCTTTCTACTACAATCGAGTAGAGAATACATGTTGAAGAAATAAAGTTTCTTCTTCTCTAACTAAGATATCTTGGCTCCTTAGATCTGAATCTTCGAAGTTTGAAGCAGCTCAAGTCTCTTGAAAATTTGGATGGGTCTTTTAAGCTTTGGTCTCTCTTTCTCTTTATCGCACTAGTAACGAATACTAGAACACTTGAATATTTTTCGCACTTAGAAATCTTAAATTGACCAGCCAAAACAATCAACCCCTTCTTCAGCTAAGGAATATGATATTTATAGGAGGTGTGAAAAATAGTTCCGTTGGAGGGAAAACTATTTTCAAATGCCTAAGTGATCAGCGGGTAAAGACTAGCAGGTAATCCGGAGGGTAAGTGAGTGTGTCAGATTTCCAACCGTTGAAACCTAATTTGCGCTAAACATTGCTTTTTGTTCTGCACAAAAGGTCGGGGCATTTAATGGAAAATCGACTTTGAGATATGGTTCTATGACTCACATTGCATTCAACATATTCACTCAACCTTTTAAGATTTCAGACTGTACAACTTAGAGAATGTCTCGAGCAGTCATATCGAGTAGTTAACTAGGTTAACACCTCGATCCTTAGGTCCTCTTGGATACAAATGGTTGACCTTTCCACCCATCCCTTAACTCCCCGAAAGGTAGGTCATTCCTAACTTTGACCTTTGCGACCCTTCGGTTACGAATGATTGACCTCACCATCGATCTTGCAATGCCTCAAATGGTAGACCCTTTCACCTCTCGGTCTTTGCAACCTTTCACCTTGATATCTTCTACTGTTCGAATCTTCAGTCTTCGGTCTACAGCCTCGGACTATAGATAACCACTCAGGTTACTCTTCTTTTCGAGCTATTTGAAAGATAGCCACTCGGGTTGATATTTGACTCGTTGTCTTTTACCCGTTCGAGAGTTAACCACTCGGGTTATTTTTTGAATCATTGTTGCGACTGTCCTCTCGAGTCTCCATTCGGATGTATACATTTTTACTACTCGATGTACCATTCGGTTTGATTCGAATGTTGAGCAGAAATATCCTAAGTATAAAATATAAAATAATTGGGGGTCTAAACTCCTATTATTTGGTATCATCAAAATCTAAGTACTAATGTCCCTAACATTATCAATGAAACTGTAGTTTTGTATTAAAATAATACTTGAGTGTATATTGTCCAATGCAAATGATACTTGAGTGTATATGTCCAATGAAACAATAATTGAATTTGAATTATACTTTAGTGGCGTTGTAATAAAACTGCAGTGTGTATAAAATGAAATTTAATAACAAGTATCACTATTGAGTGTATAATGTCAAATGAAACTGTAGGTAATTCAAAATAATATTTTAGTTTTGCTGTAATGAAACTATAGTGTATATAAAATGAAACTGAATACGCCATAAAAATAATTAGTTGGACGGAACATCCGAATGGGTGTCATTTCTTTATATTAAAAGAAACGACACCGTTTTAGACCATGGTTCATACAGTTGTGTGGTCCACAATAAAACTTGCCATGGATCGGATGGCCAAGTAGTTAGAGTAAAATGTGAAAGTAGGTTTTGGAGACCAAGTAGTATTATTTATTTCTACTAATCTAATCAGAGCCAATAAAGTTAGACGTATAACATGAACTAAAAATCTACTAATGTGAACTAGGTTTCTCGTGATATGTGTGCACTAATTTGATCCATCTACAAAGGATGATCAATGACTAAAAAATGACGGGGCCAATTCTAAAAATATTATTATAAGGGAATCAATTTAAGTATTCCATGCATCTATTTCTTTAATGTAACAAAACTAATTAGACCAAACTTTTTTTTTTTTTTGTTGTTTGTTTTTTGTTTTTTTGTTTTTTTTTTTGTTTTTTTTTGTTTTTTGTTTTTGTTTTGTTTTGTTTTGTTTTGTTTTTTTTTTTTTTTTTTTTTTTTTTTTTTGCAAACTAGAACTAGTAACCCAATTGCACACACTACAAACAAAAAAGAAGTGGACAAGCAATGAAGATAAAGACAATGACAAACCTATCTAAAAGCGAATTAACAAAACTTAAAGTAATTCCAACTAAAAGTAGTATCTACTAACTAATATCATATCAACTAAAATAAATAATTAGATAATTGTTTTTAGAAAAGTACAAATTAAACATTAATTTTAATGCCAACTATAATAAATGTCTCTTATATAATATTGTATTAATATAATTTGAATTACTTATTTAAAGACAAACATTATACATTAAATCAGTCGTGCGTATAAAACTAGGGTGTGTTTGGAAATCCGAAAAATGATTTCTAGAATCATTTTTTGAGTTTCCAATGTTTGGAAGAGTTTGAAAAATTGAAGTAAATGGAAATCATTTTCTAGTCAAAAGGAAAATAAGAATGTTTTGGGGTTCCTAAAAAAAGATAGAGGATGTTTTGGGGAAAATGACTTCTACCAAAATTTGGCGGAAGTTCCAGACTTGTGCAGCGCTCCAAGCTCCATCCTCCATCCTCCATCCTTTTCCATCTTCTTCCTACGAACTAGAGGCCTTCTCCATTAACTTTCTTATTTGTCTCTAAGGTATTTTTTTGCTACCATATTCTTTTCACAACTAGTTTCTAACTGACTGGTTTTTGACCTGAAATCACACTCTTTGGTTTCCATTGGAAACAAAATATTGGTTTTCGAAGCTGGAAACTAGTGCTATGGTTTTTGACTTCTGAAACCAATGGTCTTTAATTTTTTTTTTAATGAAATTAGTGTTCATTTTTTTTTAAATAAAAATGATACTAATGTTGTTTTTTTAAAGAGATGCCCCTTGAATCATTTGGATAAACAAAATGTTTATGTTTAATGGTGAGTGATGATAATAACAGGTAGAATGTTTGTAACTTGGACATAATTTTAACTTTGGGTTACAATTCTGTTCATTTTCCAGAAAATGAATCAAACACATCAAAACAATTTTTTAGAATGCAACCAAACACCCGAAAAGAAAGTGTGTTATGAAAAAATGACTTATTTTCTAGGTTTCCAAATGAGTTGTTATACCATGGACTAGGGCCCACCTTGCAAGGTGGACCCTAGTCCTAAACGACGTATACATTATTTATTTTTAGTATTAGAATTGTGAACTTCTAGAATATAAATTGTATATCTAAGTCAAAATACATAATACCAGACTATGTGGTCTAATGGTACCCGGGTTGGACTTCTATTTGGAAGATTATGAGTTCGAGTCTCTGGTTCTTTGTGTTTCAGTAGCTTGAGAAAGTATATGAACAGATACTACAATGTAATAGAGCCAGTAGCATTCACATTTGTGTGAACTATAAATAAAAAGTACATTTTTAATATACTAAATGTACAATATTTGTACACATAAAGTACATTATTTAAAAACATATAATTATTTATATATTATCAAATAATGCATTTACCAAAAAAAAAAATCAAATAATGTACATTCAGTACATAAATAATATATTTTTAATATATTAAAAATGTATATTACATTCATGATACACACAGCTACGTGGAACACGGTCTACACGGTAATTTGCCCAGCACTGATAGCAGTATAGCACGGCCTACCACGGCCCACTTTAGCAAATAAATTCGCACGCTTCATAAATTATAGTTTAGGGTTTTTTCTCGTTTATAGTCATTCCTCGGCCTTGTCTTCCCTTAAACCTTCCTCCGCCACCGCTGCCGCCGCCGCAAAACCCTAAGAGGGACAGAAAATGGCTCAGGAATCTCTAGTTCTCCGCGGCACAATGAAGGCCCACACCGACTGGGTGACGGCCATCGCCGCCCCAATCGACAACGCCGAATTTATCGTCTCCGCCTCCCGCGACAAATCTCTCATAGTCTGGTCTCTCACTAAGGACGGCCCGCAATTTGGCGTCCCACGCCGCCGCCTTACCGGACACGGTCACTTCGTCCAGGACGTGGTTCTCTCCTCCGACGGACAGTTCGCCCTATCCGGCTCCTGGGACGCCGAACTCCGCCTCTGGGATCTTCAGCACGGCACCACCGCCCGCCGCTTCGTCGGCCACACTAAGGACGTCCTGTCCGTGGCGTTCTCGATTGACAACCGCCAGATCGTCTCCGCTTCCCGGGACCGCTCCATCAAGCTATGGAACACCCTGGGTGAATGCAAGTACACGATCCAGGAGCAGGACGGGCACTCCGAATGGGTATCGTGCGTGCGTTTCAGCCCCAATAATCTGCAGCCGACCATCGTCTCTGCCTCGTGGGATCGGACGGTAAAAATCTGGAATTTGTCAAACTGCAAGCTTCGGTCTACTCTAGCTGGGCACACTGGCTATGTGAACACTGTTTCTGTGTCGCCCGATGGCTCTCTTTGCGCTAGCGGAGGCAAGGATGGAGTGATCCTGCTCTGGGATTTGGCTGAGGGCAAGAGGCTTTACTCCCTCGAAGCTGGATCAATTATTCATTCCCTCTGCTTCAGCCCCAATAGGTACTGGCTCTGCGCTGCTACGGAGTCTAGCATTAAGATTTGGGATTTGGAGAGCAAGACCATTGTGGTGGATCTCAAAGTTGATCTTAAACAGGAGAGTGAGATGGCTGCTTCTGCTGAAGGAAATACTTCTTCCAAGAACAAGGTCAATTTATCATTCTGTTTTCTTTTTTACCAGTTTTTCTCTTAGATTACATATCTTGCTTGTTTCATGTTACCATTGTTTCTGAATGCTGATGCATGTGCCGCTGCTAATCATTATCATACATATATCAATGGCTTTAGAATTGTGCAAGTAGAATGATGATAAGTTACTGTAATTGGAGTGATGTAAGTTTCATGCCATTTTCTCTTGGATTTGTTGTCATCCTGACTTTTGTTTGAGTTTTCATTGAAAAGCTGCACTAAATCCCAAGTGTCTGAACACTGATACTCTATCATCAATCAATATATCATTATATAGTATGGACTCTTGACTTTATGTTATGTGTTTTTTTTTTTTTTTTTTTTTTTTTTTTTTTTTTTCCTGCTTGCTTTGAAGTCCTAGAAATTAGCCTAGGCAGCCTTGTAATTATAAAAACAAAGGCGGTGGGCTGTTAGTCAACTACATATGACGGGACGATTGGTGATGTCGACGAAGGCTTTGACCTGTGGAGAGCTAGATGTTAAGCTCTGTGGATCTTGAAGCTTTGGCAGTTTTTTTTTTCTTTTGGTTTTAGGGATTTACTTTTTTGGGGAATTAGGAAATTGGTTTGTTTAGCTCAAAACGACATCGTTTTGAGCCACCGGCGGACTATTAGCTGCCTAGGGCTGAAATCTACTTATTAGAGCATCCACTATAGAAGATTATTCCAAAGCTGATGTGGAAATAAGTTATTTCAAAAAGAGTTCTGCAAAATAAGAAATAATGTCAGAATATAAAGAAAAAGGAAAAAAAGAAAAAGAAACGTTTCGCGCACGGCTTCGCCAAAGCCGACGCGCCCGGTGGAGCGTCTGACTTTCCTTTTTACTGTTTTTTTTTTTAAATTTTTAATTCAGTTTTGTTTGTTTGTTTTTTTTTTTTTTTTTTTTTTTTCTCTCCCATCCCACCTTCTCTTTCCTAATCACTCTTACATTCTCCCCGTATTCTCCCCAACGGATAATGATGCTCTTAGCCTAGGGTGCCTGATGGCTAGCTGGCCAGTTAGGCTAAATTTATCCCTGCAAGTTTTCTCATTGCAAGTCTAGGTGGCATTTTGATTTTTATTTAAAATTTTGTTTTTGATCCTACATGGAATGAAAGCTTTCACAATTTGAAGCCTTTCAAATAGTACAAAAGGCTGCCATTTGGCAGTCTTTTGTACTTTTTATTAGTTTTGTTTTTATTTATTTAGTATTATATTATTTGGTTATTATATTATAATAATGTGATGTTATTTGAAAGTAGGAGAATATTGCAAGGATGTAGAGAAAATAGTGAAGAAATAATGATGTGGAAGTAGGACCCGCTTTTGAAAGTGAGAGTATTGAAGGATAAAGATAGCCTTGGGCTGATTTTTACAATACTGTTTGATAGATAAACCTTTCTTATTGTATCTGGATGATATGTTTAATGTGGATATGCATATCATAGTTGCTTTGTTTTGACAACTGCTATCATGTCTCTTTGTAGTTCCATTTGATTTTTTGGTGCTATGTTTACTGAGTGTGTGCATGTATGCTTTGTTTTGAAAACTGCCATCTTATCTTTTTGTCGTCCCATGAGATTTTTTCGATGATTTTTATGTGGGAATATCGTTTGTATCATTTATTTATTCTCATTTTTGGGCGTTACCCCTTTTGTTTGTTACAAGTAGTCTTGTATTCTTATGCTAGTCTACACAAAGGGTGTAGATGATGTTTTACAAGATGTATGCATAATCTATTGAGTATTAATGATTGTAATTATATTTTTCCTGGTTTCACTCATTTTGTAGCATGACGCTCTAAACTTATCTGATCTTTGATGATTTGACCTAGCAGGTCATATTCTGCACCAGTTTGAGCTGGAGTGCTGATGGAAGCACTCTTTTCAGTGGATATACCGATGGCGTGATCAGAGTGTGGGGTATTGGACGGTATTAGTGGGCAAAGATAGGCAAAGAAAAACATGATCAAAATACTGTCATAGCCCGCAGTGTTGTTTAGAGTCTGAATGTTGAAGAGATTTTCAGATTTTCATTATTTGCTGTTTCAATGTTGGATATTTATTTGTGTTTTTGTACCTGAAGTTTGTACTTAAGATGCAGTTATTTTGCCTAAAGTTGAGTTCTATAATCCCTTTTTCCTCTGGCATACTGTTAATTTCCTGTTCTGTATAGCGTCATTGATAAATCATTTTGTATGCAGCCATGTGCTACACACACACACACACTTTAGTATTCAATGCAAAGTTGTCTAGTTCTTGCCGTTTGATTGGCAATGTCAAACTTTAGTTTTGACATGGCCAATTCAAGTATTAGAACAACCACACCTGTGGTTTTTTGGTAGGTTTTTCAGATGTTAAAAACAAAGCTTGGTTTTTCAACTGATGTAGACCATGATTTTTTGCGAATTCTTTTTCCTGCAAGAGAGAAATTTTGTGGGGTCCGTAATTTGAGAAAGGAAAACAAAGGGCTTTGACAGTTGTTGCGTGCGGGTGACAGCAGACGCCTAGAGGGTGCGTTACTTGTTGGTTATTTTATTTTATTAAAATTCGATGATATCGTGAATGCTCTTAGGTACAGGTGGAAGTGTGGAACCATTTCAAAACCTTTCATGTCATAGTGGGGTTTTACTTTGTAGATTCTTGCATTTTGAGCCTTAACTCCTTGAATTCTTAATTCTTGCATTTTGAGCCTTGAACTCCTTGAATTCTTAAAGTCACCTCAATTGTTTGGATTTAGTTAATACCTAAAATGATCCTCCGACTATATTAACTAATACTCGATTTTGTCACAAAGAATTAAACGTACTCAATTTAGTCCTCTACTTTTAAAACGGTACCTAATGTCTACCCTTATTTTCAAGGGCAGAAGTGTCATTTTATTTGCTAAACTATATTCCTCCATAAATGAAGCTGTGTGCAGAACATTACCCCCACCTTCAACCCTAGACACGCCATTTGCAGAAGAGGGAGCAAGGATGAAGCAAAACGTGGAGATTTATGAGAATGTCTGCATAGGAGAAGGAGAATATGCAAACCAGATTTTTTGATGGCTACTATCTAGGAGTACTAGGACCCCATTGTGTTTGAGCATTAGCTTGTCAGAGAAGTGTTGTTTAGCGGAGTTTCTCTGTTAGAAACCCAGACCACATCCTTAGTTGGTATCTTGCTGTACCAAATGCCTATGTATCGTTTCTTGGAACTTCCGGGGCTAAAAAATCCAAGCTCAAAGTTGCCACCAACTGAAACTATAATTCTGCCATCTGTGATGGGTTGATCTGTGGTTATGGTGTCTGCTGGGGTGCAAAATGTTAATAGGCTAAGAAAACATTGAAAAGAAAAGTGGGAATAGGAAGGAGAAGGTATAAGTTAGTATGTATGTATTTGCATAGTGCATACCACGAGTTCAACGACATTCAAGGGGGATTTGTTGGCCTCGATGGCGGCGACACAGATCTCTAAGCAGTGGTGGAGGGCGGCCTCTCTAGGCTGGCGGCGTTCTTGAGGGAAATCCCAGGGAATGTCACCGGCGCCACCGTGCAAAGCGATAGCCCAACCCAACCAGTTGCTGGAAACATAGGAGGGGGTCGCATCTTGCTGCTCAGCCGCCGAACCACCACCTGCTACGCCGGAGCTTGTCGGAGGGGAGGTCTGCTACGCTAGAAGGTCGCTGGAACACCCCTGTCGCTTGCTCGTCAATCTGCTGCTGCCGTTGGCTACATCGAGCGAAACGAAGGGAGAGACGAAGAGGAAGGAGGGCGAGAAGGTTGAAGAATATGGGGGTTGTTCTTGTTTGTTTTTGGCGAGGGAGAAGAGGCTGAGGGCTGCTGGTTTTGATGAAGATGATGAAGAAATCTCTACCAAGGAAGAAACAGGTGCTGGTTTTGATGAAGATGATGAAGAAATCTCCACTAAGGAAGAAACGAGTTTGGTTCACTAAAATGACGCTTATGCCCTCAAAGTAATGGTAGTTAGGCAGCAATTGTAACGGGGGACTATATTGGGTATGATTTTAAAAGTAAGAGGACTAAATTGAGTACGTTTAATTCTTCAGGACAAAATCGAGTATTAGCTAATTGTCAGAGGATCATTTTGACTAGAGTTAATTACCAAAATGGTCCCTTGACTATAGCAAAATTACCAATTTGGTCCTTGACTATTTTTTTGACCAATTAAGTCCCTCAACTTTAAAAATCTTAACCAATTTGGTCCTCTGTTTGTTTGACCATTAGTCAACCGTTAACTTGGGACCAAATTGATAATTTGCTATAGTCAAGGGACCATTTTGGTAATTAACTTTAAGGGTGAGAATTCGATTTAGTTTTCTTGAACCGAACCGTACCAAACTAGTTAGATTTGGTAATATACCGAACAACCGAACGGTAATAGATTCTTGTATATCGAACGGTTCGGTAAAAACTCGAACCGAACCGAACCAAATACCTTTTGAACTTTAGATTTCTATTTTGTTATATATTATACTTTGGATATGGACTATGTAAACACCATAACACATAATATAGAACTTTTGATAACAAACCATAAAGAAATCAAATAAAACATTTACAAGAGATACCCGTGAGAATATGAGCTGAACGGTATAGCAAGCAGCAAGGGAATTTGATTTACTTTTTATTTATATATTTATTTATTATTATTATTATTATATATTTTTTTTTAAAAATAAATCAAACGATATTCGGTTCAGTTCAAATTTTTACCAAACAATTCGGATCGGTTTTTTATGGAACCGTTCAGTATACAAGAATCTAATACCGTTTGGTTGTTCGGTATATTACCGAACCAATTGGTTCGGTACGGTTTGATTCGATAAAACTAAACTGAATTGCCCATCCCTAAAGTTAATTACCAAAATGGTCTCTTGACTATAGCGAAATTACCAATTTGGTCCCAAATTAACGGTTGACTAACGGTCAAACAAACGGAGGACCAAATTAGTTACAATTTTTAAAATTTACTGCTGCTGCTGCAAAGATAAAATTCAATAATAATAATAATAATAATAATAATAATAATAATGCAATGCGTACGGTAAAGATGCAATCCAATAATATAATAATAATAATAATAATAAAAATAAAAACAACAACAATAATAATAATAATTATAATAATAAAAGCATAAAATGAGGAAACCGTATGGTTCTTGTGTGTTGTAGACCATAATTTGGTCTTGAACTTTGTAACTCGATTGCAGAATGCATATCACGTTTTCTTGAAGAGAAATAATTGAGGGCAATTTTAAAATATTGAAAAGTAATCTCACATTACCTAACCAAAACTTGGTAATAAGATTATCCCAAATATACTCTCATTTTCTACGTGGCAGTAATCTTGCATTACTTATCCTCTCAGATTACCTTAACCAAACATGGTAATCTAGGATTACCTTTCTCAGATTACCAAGATAATTTGAGATACCTTGAACCGAACACCACATAGGAGTTCTCGTGTGCACGGTCGATGCACGGACTAGAGAACGTACAATTGGACGGTGTACTTACATTTTCGTGTGTCGTTAGGTGACTTATTTGAACATAGCAAATATGAGGGTCTTCTCTTCAATATATATATATATATATATATATATATATATATATATATATATATATATGTTAACTCGATCTCTCACTAATTTACATAGCAAAAATATTTTGTCAATCTCCCTCTAAATTCTATAACCCTATCTAGCTGCTTTCGGGCCATTTTCTCATCCTAAACATGTCTGATGTAGAGGATTTCACTCGGCGGATCTGATCTGATCTCATCTCAAAAAGCTTCAAAGTTAACTGTCCAAATCTCTGATCTCCGATCTCTACCATAAAATTTTCATTTCTCAATCTAAGTCGGTGAGTTTTGATTTAATTTCGCTTAGCTTCCAAATGCGTTTTCTTATGATCGATGTTTAAAGGATACCCATGTTATGTAGTGTATATATAAGCTAGTTAAATTAGTTCAATTCTTTGATTGGACTTGAAGATCAGATTTGTTTCCATTGAAAAGTTTAAGGTTTGTTGTCCAAATTTGATAAAACTGTCATATATAACTCATAATAATCAATTGATAAATCATTACTTTTATTTATTTATTTTTTATTAAAATTTAATTCGATTTCTTATTATATATAATTGGTTACCTGCTCAATTTTCCTTTTAGAGCATTTACACTTGTGCATATTATGGAGAGATTTCAGAATGAATTCTTCCTATAAGAAATAATAACTAATGTGGAGGGGAGATAATTGAAAAAGATTTGTCCCGCAAATGAAGGGATATTGTCAGAATTTTTTTTTTTTTAAAAAAAAAAAAAAAAGAAGAAGAAGTAAGGCTGTGCACGTTTCGCGCACAGCCTGGGCAAAAGCCGGGCGCGTGCAGTGCATGCGCCCGGAGGCGCGTCTGACGCGTCTGATTACTTTATTTTTTTTATTTTAATTTTTTGTTTTGTTTTGTTTTGTTTTGTTTTGTTTTTTTTTTTTTTTTTTTTTCTCTCCAATTCCACATTCTCTTTTCTAATCACTTTTACATTATCCCCCATTCTCCCCAACCAATGTGGATGCTCTTCTTAGAGTTTACTAGTATTTTCGCACTTGCCATGCACGGCTGAACAAACATTGAATATACAAAATAACTTAATTCCTTTTACTGTTTAGCCACTTCCCACTTAGCCTCTGTCTAGACTCCACTACTCCAGACTCCGGTGTCCGCTACTCCGGTGAGCCCTAATTCCTTTTTCCCTCTTCAATCTTCATCGTCTTCTGAGTTCTGCCTTCTTGTTGCTTCGAGTTGTCGCGACTTCAGACGGCCTCTAGCCCTCTACTGCCTGAATCGCGACTTGTCGACTTCGGCCTCTTCACTTCTTCAGTTGCGCAGCCCGTCGCCCCGTGCTACCTGCTCTACGCCGTCGCCGCCTCCACCCTCTGCGAATCTACGGACTTGTGAAGTGCGAGTTGCGATTGACCATGCGGCCCCTTTAAAAGAAGTTCCCTCTTCAGTCTGGTCGAACCCCCCACACTGGATCTGCGGCTAGTCGGTCGAGTCCTACCCATCATACTGTAAGTTCTCTAAGTTCTCTCAACCTCCATAGCTATTAGCTACTCTGCGTCTACTTACTACTTAATTGCTAAATAAATTACTTACTACTAGGCTGTGTAGTAGATTGCTTCATCACATATTACTTGGTGCTTAGTGATTTAGTGTAGTAAATTACTTACTGCTCAAGTGCTTAGTGTGAGAAATTACTAAATTACTTACTGCTTACTGTCAATACTTTCATTACTGTGTAGTGAATTGCTTAGTGTTACTAAAATTTTACCAAATATGCTTAGTTATTAAGATTTTAAAAGCCTTCGAATTTATCCTGGATGAGTTATTTGTGTTATTAGTATTTCACCAAATGCTTAGTTATTTGTGTTATCTGGTGGAAAGTAGATTCAATTTCTATTGTAGTTGAATAGGAGTTCTTTAACTCCTAAAATAGTGCAAGCACTCATTTATACACAAGATTGGATTAGACCGAAAACCGACCGATGCTCACCCCTACTTAGCTTCCTGCTCTTCAATTCGGGTCATTTTCTCATCCTAAACATATCTGATGTAGAGGATTTCACGCGGGGGATCTGATCTGATCTGATCTCAAGCTTCAAAGTTAACTGTACAAAACTCTGATCTCCGATCCTCTACCATAAAATTTTCATTTCTCAATCTAAGTCGGTGAGTTTTGATTTAATTTTCGCTTCCAAATGCGTTTCCTTCAATTGTGATGTATTGTACTGTAGCTATTCTTTTGTTTCGTGTTTCCTTATGATGTTTAAAGGATGAGTTCTACTACATAGTACAAGTGTGTACATCAATATTTTGTATGTGAGAGTACAAGTTAGGTGTACAAAGTGGGAGCACATGTGTAGCATTTTCCTTAAAGGATACACATGTTGTGTACTTGTGTAGTGTTTCTATATATAAGCTAGCTAGTCAGTTCAATTCTTTGATTGGACTTGAAGATGAGATTAGTTTCCATTGAAAAAAATTAGGGTTTGTTGTCCAAATTTGATAAAACTGTCATATATAACTAATAATAATCAATTGATTAGTAACTGTGTCAGAATGTGGAAACACTGGGCTACACCAAAAAAAAAAAAAAAAATCAATTGATAAATCATTAGTTTTATTATTATTATTACTTTTATTTTTTATCAAATTTTAATTCGACTTCCTATTATATATAATTGGTTACCTGCTCAATTTTCCTTTTAGAGTCTATATGTTTCAAACAATTAATACTCTTCTCATTGTAAAATTAAGTACCTTAATTGTATGGATTAACTTTTATATATAGTGTTGAGTTGATGAGAAAATCAAATTTATATTATATTATTTCCCAAAAGGGGAATGCTAAATATATATAGACATAAATATATTTAATCCATTGTATCAAATCTAAATATAGTGAGATGTATTGAAGGCAAATTAAATAATTGTGCTTAAGGTGAAATGTAAAATTTTAAAGCATTGATTAATCGTATTACTTGTACAATAATAGTATTCATTGTTCCCAAAAGGTTGAATCCCCAACCCCAAGGGCCCCTATGCCCCTGCCCGACAAAACATCTGGGAGGATGTAAATTATGATAAGTCAACTTCACACAGGGGCTAGACGACCTTTGCTTACTGCGTACAAGGAGCCCCCCTCACTTTGAGAGGTTGCTCCTACACTGTCGTTGGTGGTGAGACCCGATCCTGGGTCATTATTCCCAAACTTCACCCCTATGACCAACTGATCGAGCTGCCTATGCGGGTACAATAATACTATTCATATGCTGCCTTATGCATGCTTTCTTGGAATATGTATATATATCTCCAGTTTCTAGTGTTACTTTATAAACTATTATTTGTCTTTTTAAACTTTGTTTTTTGATACTTTTCTAATAAATTTCACAGCATAAAGTTAGCACAAGTACAATGCAGCCTGAAGAGCATTCTGCAGGTGATGAACAAGAAATGCATACTAGTGTTTCTTGCAATGCTCCAACTAATATTCATTCTGTGGCTTCATCATCTCCCAAAACACCAAAGGTATACCCATCTATACTGGGTTATAGTTTTCAGTGCACAAAATGTTACAAATGGAGGCTGGTTCCAACAAAAGAAGTATATGAAAATATAAGGGCAAACATCTCTGCCAATCCATTCTTTTGTGAGATGGCAAATCAGTGGCAAAGGAATAATAATATATCATGTGAAGATCCATCTGATGTGGTTCCAGATGGAAGTAGGCTTTGGGCTATTGATAAGCCTAACATTCCTCTTCCACCTTTGGGATGGAGGCGTGAATTGAGATTCAGAGCTGTCGGAGGTACCCGGTTTGCAGAAGTGTATGTCTCATTTTTCTTTTCTATATATGTTATTTATTAATTCGCTTATTATATTTTTCTTCAAAATTAGTTGGTCTTGCATGAAAAAATTCAACTTATACAAAACTTTTCGCACGAAAATCACAAGCTTTTAGCATGTCTAGTGAGAAAACCATTCCTAATTCTCCATAACAAACAAAATCACAACTTTTTACCTTTATATATATATATATATATATATATATATATATATATATATATATATATATATATATATATATATATATATATATGTGCGAACCTGCGAACTACAGAAGGATTTCACCGAATTTACTACATGATTGCATCGCAATGGCTCCCAAACATGCTTGGAGGTGCAATTGTATCCGTTGCGGTGCAATCATGTAGTAGTTACGGTGCAACCTTTCAGTAGTTTGCAGGCCGGTTCGCACGTTAAGGTCAGTTCACACCTGATTATTGTTCATAAATATTGATAAGCTTATTAATATCAACTCTCACCCTTTTTTTTTTTTTTTTTTTCTATATACTTTGTGCAGCTTTTACTACTCACCATTTAAGAGAAGATTCCGTTCCATACGAGAGATTGAAAAGTAATATCTATTTTTCTTTCTAATGAAACAAAACATTTTTGAGCTCTTCATAGTTCATATATATGTATATTTGGCTATTATATATTGTTTGTTGTGATTTGATTAGGTATTTAAAAGAACACCCAGAGGATTTAGCAGCTGGTATAAATATAAATCAATTTTGTTTTGAGACATCAGAGCCTCTATTCTGGAAAAGAAAGCATCCCCCTCCTATAATAACTTCCTTGTCTCATGATGGGAGATCTAAAAGGCCACATCAATCTGCAGGTCAAGGTATATATATAGGTCAATTAGTTTTGTAAGTCTACAAAAAACTCATTATACTTGTTAGAAGTTGATTGTTTTTTTTTTTTTTTTTTTTTTTAATATTATGTTTTTCCAGATGAGGATATTGAAGGCAAGAACGTTGGTAGTGCACCCATTGTCAGTAGCAACAGTTGATAATGTCTTTATGACTCAACAGTTGATATAGAATTTGATTTATGACTCAATAGAATTTGATATTGGGAGAAGAATTTGATGTATATATGTTTGTATATTGTCTGTTGTGGATTCTTCAACAAATATAATTCTGACTTTTTTTTTTTTTTTTTTTAAATGACAATGTGGATTATTTATTTTATTATTTGTGACAATTTTTATTATTATTTATGAGTAATCTATACAATAATGTAAATAACAACGTCACGTTGTTGTTATCATAACATGACATATGCAATAGAATTTGATATATGTTTGTATATTGTCCTGTTAGGATTGCTTCCATTAGTTACGTTTGTAGATCACCGAATCGAGTACTTTAGTTTGAGTGTCTGGTTCGGAGAGTTGGTCAACCCCTGAAATGTTAGTATCAAACCCTACAAATGATTACGCATTCCTTTCATAAAATGCTTGATAAAGTTGAAAAAACAAAAAATGGAACCCCTATAATTCCTAGTATTTTTTTTCCCTGAAATCCTATTGATTTTAATTAGCTGAAATTCTATTGCATTATTGAAGTAACCCACCCCATCTCAAGTGTAATGTAGATTGGGTGGGTTACTCTTTATCTTGTTTAGAAAAATAGTTTTAAGATATAAAAATGTGCGATAGGTAAGATTGAAATTTGAATTGAAGATAAATGAAGACCCGTGTACAATAGGAAAGAAGAACAGTCGTACCCCAGTCAGTCACTTGTCCCAAGTTAGTCTATCGGAGAAGAACAGTCGTACCCCAGTCAGTCACTTGTCCCAAGTTAGCCTATCAGAAAAGAACAGCCGTACCCCAATCAGCCACTTGTCCCAAGTTAGCCTATCGGAGAAGAACAGTCGTACTCCAATCAACCACTTGTCCCAAGCGGAATCAACCATTTGTCCCAAGTTAGTCTATCGAAGAAGAATCCCCACCAGACCAGAGAAGAACAGGTCGTACCCCAATCAACCACTTGTCCCAAGTTAGTCTATCAGAGAAGAACAGTCATACTCCAATCAGCCACTTGTCCCAAGTTAGCCTACCAATCGGTGCACTAGCTAGTTGCCTTCACGCAAAGTGTGGGAGAACCTGATCTCCTTCACGCAAGATCGAAGGAGCAGCATGCAGTCCTGGATGAGGGTTGAAGCAGACTCCACATGCAGAAACCTCTTCCCTCCCCATGACGTTGAACACAGCCTCTGAGTCCAGCTCAAAGATGGCTTTATTGAAGATAATGCTATGTATTAAATAGTAGCTTAATGACACATATATTACTCTTTTTAATAGGAGGTCACAAGTGTGTGAATTCCATTGGGACATTAACCCTTTGTGCTTCAATACGTTATTACTATATAGAATTCAGAATAAGAAAAGATTTACCAATGCAATTAAGGTTCAGTGTAGTTATAGATCATGAACGGAATATAATAATTTATTGAATCAAATGGAGTGCACATACATGTATAGAGAAGAACGTCAATGATGTTGACAACGTAACATTAAAAAGGGCAAATTAAGGTTGTTAATTGATGGATGATGGGGGAAGTGAAGATCACATGGTTTGACCGGGGAGAAAATCGATCTCCTCCAACACTTTGGAACATCGCTCATCGGCCAAGTCTTTCATGAAGAAGAGTGGGTTAGCATGGCGGATGTCGCTCTTCATTCCGACGTTGGCAGTGCAAACAACTATGGCTTTCTCCAACCCCTTCACTGTCTCCTTGCAATCCTCTCTTGGGCTCTTCACCACTGTCACCACGCACATGTCCCTCTCGTGATCTCCGTCCACCGTCAAGTTGTAATTCCCGTCCGCCCCCGTCGCCCCCTCCATGCTGTATGTCAATGTCTTGTTATCCAAGTTTCTGCACTCCAATCGCACCGCCGCATCTGTACTCCAAACTCTACTCGTTAGTTTGTGCAACAGAGTTTAATTTTCTGGGTGCACACCCACTCTTACCTTTATCTGTGCACACATTGAAAGAGTGACTACAGCTCCTCATCACTAATAATGAATTTGTTGCCCCGCAACCGATTACCCCAAAACCTTATTCCAGCAATGATGTGAAAGTTCAAATCTCACTGGAAACCTAAGATTAGTAGGAGACCGATTGATCAGTGATAAAGACCTCTTGTGCACAGGGTGGGTTATTAGGAGACCGACTGATCGGTGATAAAGACCCCTTGTGCACAAAGTGTACAGACAATAGGCCAGAACATGAGGTCGGCTCTTGGGCATGCATCCCACTAAAAACCTAGAAATCATTAAGAGACTTTGACTGATCACTCAATCAGAGGTGATTATTAAGACCCTTTGTATGCAGAGTGTACAGAAAAGGGTGGGAACCCAACCAAAGGTTATACAGTAAGTGGTGGGAATCACGAGTCCTCCCGTGACTCATGGGTAAGGAGTTAGCAGCTTAGAATAAGTTGAGAAACCTAGTTTATGAAAGAAATCATAATGAATTTGTGTTACCTTTTATGCTCTGGCTAATTCTGGTCTCGAATTGAACACGGCAAGTGTCGCAGTAGACTTTGCCCACAACATTGAATTTCTCAGGAGCGCAGTGGGCAATGCCGGCAAGGGCCAAAATGCAAAATGCAGAGATTAGTGCAACAGCCCTTGCCATTTTTGTATGGAGCTAATTTTATTTTATGTGATTCTTAATTACTGTACTTCTCTATCTTGATAAGCTCCACGATTTGTTAATGAGGGATTTGTGCCCATTTTATAGTGTTAGAGAGCCATGAAGCTAACGGTTGTGAGTAAATTTTGGTTGGCTCCTTATTTTTAAAAGGTTTAGAGGAAAAGATCTATTCAATTCATGTATTTTGTTTTGTTTTTTTTTTGTTTTTTTTTTCTTTTTTTTTTTTAAACCAATTACTGTATTTTGTTAAGACTTGGAACAAAATGAGTGCTTCTTTATCTCCTTCTTTCTTTCGTAACATTAAAAAAAAAAACGATTAAAAATAAGATTATAAAATTAAACTTTTGACACAAGTGGGTATAAATATTAGTTTGGTATGTTGAAAATGCAAATTTATTTTCCTTTTTTTTTTCTTTAGATTAAAAGGAAGGGGATTACCCAAAAAACGAAAACTAAAGCTACAAGGCCTCATAGTGCCAAACAGGAACCCCAATCTATCAAATTCTAAAATCTGCAGAAGTTCATCCGGAGGTGAAACTAGCCAGGGCATTTGGTCTTGGTCAGACTGCCTTTTAGCTAACGAATCCGCCGCTCGATTAACATCTCTGGGAACGAAGGCTAAGTGCCATACCTCAAAACAGCTTAGCTCATACCTGCAAATGTTTAGCATGTTGTCCATGAAGCTGCCTCTGCTTGTGCCTTGGCAAATTGCATCTACTAGTACCTTCGAGTCACTTTCGAAACACACATGGCTTCTGGCCAATGTCTTTGCAAGCTGAATGCCCTTCCACAGTGCCCAAGCCTCCGTCATTTCAGTAGAGCAACTGCCTATATAGTAGCTGAAACCTCTTAACCAAGCACCATGGTTGTTACAAGCAAGCTCCCCACAGCTACTTTGTTCAAAGTAGGGTAATAACTCCCATCAATGTTAACCTTAACCCAACTCTATGTGTTGATTTTACTTTCTGCCTTAGTCTTCCGCATTACGATATAGCTGATTATCTATCTGATTGAGTGTGTGATCGTAAGTCTGTGTTAATCAGTCCACTATCCAGTCGGCAAGAAAGTAAATTGAATTTTCTAGATTAAGAGAATATGCAAAATTATATGTGGTATCATAGCCTTTAAGTCTACATAGTGACTTGATCCATAAGGGAAAACATTTTGCAAAATTCTCGATAATCTGCCTGATAGGTTATCTGCTTGTGGTCTATTCTCCTCTCTGTCTGTGTGTTCTGGCTGGTTGTCTGATTGTATCAGGATGTATGCTAAAATGAAACCCCCGGAATTGGATGGTTCGAACTATTCATTATGGAAAGCCCGCATGGAAATCAATCTCCAAGCACAAGGAACGAGGGTCTGGCATACGTTGATCATCGGTTGGAGTCCTCCAACTATACAGAACGCTGATGGATCCTCAGTGGTGAAACATATGGCAGATTGGACTAAGGATGAGATGAACAAATCAGATCTCAACAATAAGGCGCTGAATTTCATTGTAGGATCTCTGCATGAATCAGTCTTTACTCTTGTTACTGGTGTAAAGGAAGCAAAAAGGGCATGAGAGATCTTGCAAACAAGATACGAAGGTACTGATGATGTCAAGCAGTCAAAGCTTCAGATGGTGATTTCTGAGTTCGAGGCCCTGAGGATGAATGAAGATGATAATATCTCAGAGTTTCACAGCCGTGTCCAGGATCTGATGAACATGGCGTCCGTTCTTGGTGAACCCTTCTCGGAGGACAGATATAACACCCCGTGTTACGGCCCTTAATCCCGAATTAATTATTTAATTAATTCCATTACTAATAATTAAAAAGGATTTAATTTGATTAGAAATCCCTTTAATTAATTAAACGTGGCCCACCACGAATCATGGACCCTTGCCTAAACTAGAGTCATAAGCCTATTAGGAATAAAGAAAGTATACCTTTACTATTCAGATTATGGTTAGGATTCTCTTTAATTAATTAATATGGCCCACCATGGTCCATGGGCCCTTATCCCTAAAGCCAACCCCTTAGTTCTATAAGGAATAGAATTAGTAAACCCATGCCACTTAGACCATAATTAGGACTCTTAATTATATAAATAGGGACATAGAAGGCACCTAGAACACACACCACAAATAATCCCTCACCACACAAGAAAGTTCCAAGAACTCCCGTAGTAGAAATCAAGAAAGGAGAAATCTTAAAGAAAGACCCTTCATAGCCAAGGAAATTAATTAAGGCTAAGAGGTAACCCATGTCTCAACAAAATCTATTTTCATAGCTATGATTCCCCTCTTAGGATTTTCCCATATTATTGTGTATTGCTGATTTGTGATATTATTATTGATGATTGGCGGGGTGATTCCATGGGTGATCTTGATGATGGAAGGTTCTTGATAATTATGGTGTTCTTAATGATTATATGACGTTCTTGATGATTATATGATGTTATTGGTGATTGTAGGATGTTCTTGATGTTTATGTGATATTCTTACCGAATCTTGATATTAGAAGATGAATTGTGCCCTTGTTGATTTAA